CAAAACCCCAGAAAACGTGGTAGCGGCTTCCATGGGATGGAGTTAGAGCTGCAGAGGGGAGGCTGCTCCTCATCCTCTGCTCAAAGCCCGGGGCTCATGCTGGTGCCCGGGGCCGGGCAGATGGGGATGGACTGGTCCCAGCATGGAAAGCCTGCGGGAGCTGGGCTGGCCTGGAGTGCCCTCTCTTGGCTGCTGCAGAAACCTCACGTTTTGCTAAGGATGGAGAAAATCAGTCGGTTGTTATCATTTTAATTTTCCAGTGTGATGGCCAGAGGTAAGCTGGTGTTGGTTGGGTTTCCAGATTTGCTTCCTAAGGACCCCTGATAGCTCACGGAGGGTGAGCCTTCGGTGCCCGTGGCGAGCTCCAATCCCTCATTGAAGCCCCGATAAAGTTACGCGCTCCGGCAGCGTTGCACGCAGGACTCTGTTAACGTCCTGCTCCTGGGACTCTTAACATTTGAGCAGAGCTCAGGTTTTTAAGAGACTTGGTGCTGCTCTGAATCCAGGGATCCCAGAGGCGGCAACTGCAGTGGCCCCTGCCTGACTCTTTGCGCTGCTAAATGAATCCAGAACAAATGAGGCTCTGAAAATAAGAAGAAAAATTTGACACCTGGACTCCAGGAAACATTCGCGGATTTTGATGAGGAGCAGTAGAGGGGGGAAGGGAAAACCTACGGTTCAACGTAGTTAAATATATGGCGTGCTAAGTATGAATAAATTGTGACTATTTTAAACAAGTTCATATACTCCATGGCTGGCTCGAGCACAAAGGGAAAGACAACAGCTACAACATACTGGTTCCTCAGAGGGTTACCTGGAGGCCACCATCCTGGGCTGCTGCTGCTGCATGGCAATGGTCAACTTTCATCATTTATACAAGTGGCAGACTTTTGTACATGTTATTCTTTTTTTTAAAAAAAGAATTTGTGTCCGTGCTGGTGAGGTAATGGGGTTTGTCTCCTGATAGCCTTACTTTGCAGTCTGATTTCTTTCCTCATTGTTCATAAATGATTCATTTGTGTAAAGGAATCCTTCAGTAAACTGAAGTTAAAAGTTCCTCTTTAGAAGTACCAAGCCCATTTCATGCCCATGTTAAGGTGACCCAATCACATGGGGCTGCCCTGTGCCCGCTCCCTCTCCTGTGGTGCAAAATCATGTCATAATTTCTTGAACTTTTGAAGTTGAGTCACTTCTGCATTCCAGCCGAGCACCGTTACAGCAGCATCTCAGCACTGGGTTTGGGGAGGGAGTTTCTTCCCAACCTCTAAACTCCATCCAACTAAAGGAGCCTTTCACTTTAAAGGAGAGACTGAAATCTGGCCCTGACTGCTAGTGGCTAAAAATCACTATTATCTGCCTTAATGTGAGCCAAGTAAAATGAATTAAGAGCCTTGGGGTAGGTGTGCAGACGCAGTTAGTGCTGTTCAGCAGCCTCCAATGGCTCTGACCGGTCAGTTCACGTGGAGGTGGCCCCGGAGTCCATCAGGGCAGTTTGGGGATGAAGTTGCCTTTTGCAGTTAGTAGAGAAGGTAAGAATCTGGTTTTCAGCCTGCTGCTGGCACCGCTTGCTTTTAAAAACAAGGCAGCAGCCCGTGCAGTCCGGCTGCACTCGCTGTTTACAAGATGTGAATGTGAATCTGGTGTTTGCTCTCATTTTAGAGGGGGTTTTTCTTTAGGGTGCATTTGGGTTTGAGCGTAAATCGGAAGGCAAAGGTTTCAAAACATTGTTCCTTTTGTTTTGATCAGAAAAGCGGGGTGCAGTCCACAGTCACAGTCACCCTCGCGTTGTGTTCTAGAGGAATAGATATTAATGATTACACCTTGAAATTCCGTGGGTCTGCATCTTCCCAAGCAGATTCCCAGTGGCTGGTACCAAACCCCGGGGGGGGTTACAGCGCTGCTGGTGTTACCGGCTCAGCCCCCAGCACTGTGTAGCTTTTATTGCTCTTCTCTTCCTGTGCAATAGCTCCCTCTGCTTGAAAACAGCAGTGTGATTATAACCCCTGTTTTGCATTTGCCTGATCGACGGGTTTTGATATGGGCCCCTCTTTTTTAAGAGGATTTCTGCTGCTGCCCTTTGTGAAGCGGTTGCGCTCACGCGTGTTGCGAAGCAGCAAAGATAACAGTGATCTTCTCAAAACTTGGCTGCAGAGGAACTCTGTATGTTTGCAGGAACTCTTTGTTTTCAGCCTGGAGAAGAGAAGGCTCCGGGGAGACCTTATAGCGGCCTTTCGATATCTGAAGGGTGCCTATAGAAGAGCTGGGGAGGGACTCTTTGCCAGGAAGGGTAATGATAGGACAAGGGGAAACAGTTTTAAATTGGAAGAAAAAAGATTCAGATTAGATCTCAGGAAGAAATTTTTTACTCTGAGGGTGGTGAGACACTGGAACAGGTTGCCCAGGGAAGTTGTGGCTGCCCCATCCCTGGAAGGGTTCAAGGCCAGGTTGGATGGGGCTTTGAGCAACCTGGTCTGGTGGGAGGTGTCCCTGCCCAGGGCAGGGGGTTGGAACTGGATGATCTTTGAGGTCCCTTCCAACCCAAACCATGCTATGATTCTATGATTAATCCTGGTTGGAACACCTCTTTGGCTAAATAATCTCTTACCAAATCATGATGATTTATTGAAGCTGAATTTTTTTTATTTCAGTGAAAACTTTAGTTGAAACAGGACTGTTTCTCATCAGAAATGTGGTATTTAGGCCACTGACCTTGAATATCTGCCTAGAAGAAGCTAACAGTGAGATTCCCGTGTCCTGCTTAAGTGGTTCTGATCTGGAACCCAAAAAAGGCCAGCTTTGGATCAGACAGAGCAGGGATTTGAATGTGGTTCTCCCACATTCCCATGTGGGAATTCCCAGTGCCATAATTACTGGGCCAGTCATTCACTCCCAATTTTTTCTCAGCTTATCTGCACAGGTAAGGATGAATGCCGGTTTTGTTTTCTTCCTTTTTTTATCAATAGAGCTAAACCAGCAACAGTCATATTATAAAAGCTGTTGTGTCAGCAAAGGTGTAGTTTTGCTGAGAGAGCATTCACCCATTTAGGGAACCAGCATAAACCCTGCTTGCCATGGCAAGATGAGCCCACAAGAGGAAAACTTGCTGGTTTGGTTCTATTAGCGAAGATGTGAACACAAAGATGTTTTTCCTTGCTGGAAAACGGCTGGCTCAACAGCATCCTGATTTTGCAAACAAGTCCAAAAGGTTATTTTTATTTTGCATTGGAGCAAACCCTCAAAAGAAAACCATCTCAAGAGCCTGTGTGGAGGGGTTGTTCTGTGGTCAGCTCTCCCGGGGATGGTCGGGCAAGGGCAGGCAGGGCTGGCTCCCTACACAGAGGGCAACAGTAGCTTTGCATTTTCAAAATTCAACATATGAAAGGCAAACCCTCTTTTTTTTTTTCTTTTTTTTTTTTTTTCCCCCCATGTTTTGGAATCCTTTAGATCCTCGGCGTGTGTGAGGCAGGTCTGGGCAGGAGCGGTGGGACATCCCGCACATATTGGCAGGGGTTCAGCAGCAGAGGGAGGTCACTGGGCTCGATTATCAAGACGTGGTGCTCACAAGGAAGCCTCTTCAATCTTCCCAAACTTCCCTGGTGCTTGGGAAGATTATAAAATGGCAGGATTAAGCAGTAGAACAGGAGAGAGTTATTAGTAATATGTATTTACTTGAATTCAGCTCCGGCACGGCTCTTCCTGCTGGACTCTGATTTCAGGTCTCTAATTTCAGCCGTTTACAGATATTACATTCATTGCCTCATGTGTTTGCACATACCTTAAAAAAACATGTTCCCTCTGGAAAGCAATGTATAGTTATATAAAAATAAAGAGTTAAAAAAGCATTCCTGTTTTCAAATTAACACTGGGGTGCTGAATTCATGGTGGTCTTTGTGATTTGAATTTTACCCTTTCTTTTTTTTTTTTTTAAATCCCTCCCATGCCCTGAATAAGGTGCGAGTCCTGGGGGAAAAATAGTCCATGATTATGCATTTGAAGACCCAGTGCATACAAAAGAACATTTCTGAACTTTATGAGCCCTTGGCAAGGGGGTGAAAAGCTAATTCTAATCTTAAAAAAATAAAAATGAAAACAGAAAACCCCCCCATAAATTTGTTTTGTGTGTCTTTCTGCCACTATATAATAACTTACAATCATTTCATTGGATCAAGGATGATTTTTTTAAATGGCTGAATGCACGATAGAAATGGTACATGACACAACACAAGGCTAATACTGGAAAAAATATTAAATGAAGTGAATCTCTTTGCATCAGTTTAATAGCCTCTCCAATGTGTATAATATTTTCTACTTCACATTCCTCTGTATACAGCACTACAGCGTTCCTTGTCTTCAGTAATAATGTTAGTTACTCTTTTGTTGCTGTCCCCTGTGTTCTCTGTTTTGGAAACTTCATGGATGGAGAAAATGTCTTTTATAAGTAGTCACGCAGATTTGACAAAGCAGGAGCCACTGCAGTAATATAGCAAATGTCTACTGCTATTTCTTGAATGTTTTGATTTTTAATTTCATAATATTTTTTAATTCAATTTCTAATCTTGCAGTGATTTCTTGTAACATCAGTTTTGCTTCTACGAAGCTCCTGAAGGGCCTGCAGGAGGGTTATTTTATGTAACATTAGCACGTAAGAGCTGGATGGAGGCTGGTGGAAAAGAGCCAGCGTCCGTGTTCTATTTGCAGGTCGGCCCGGCTGTTTCTGTGTATCGAAGAAGAGGGCAAGCCCAGGGTATCAGGCAGCTTGCAGATCTTAACATTTCTTAATGGATTAGGCAAGTGGCAGACTATCTTCCTACTGCAAATCTTTCCTTTTATAAGCTGTAAGCCTTGGCAGTATTAGTAGACAGTCCTTTTGAATGTCTCAGCAAGCTTCAGTTCTGGATGGTGAATGTGCCATCTTTCGGGGGACTTTGACTTTTTTTTTAATTTTTCTTTTCTTTTTTCTCTTTTTTTTTTCTTTTTTTTTTTTAACTTCTTTTTTTCAGGATCCCTTGGATCCAACAAGGACAGCCATTGTGATCAGCTCTTTGGTGGCAGGCGGAGTGGCCGAACGCGGGGGCGAGCTTTTACCGGGCGACCGCTTGGTGTTTGTCAATGAGACATCTTTGGACAGTGCCACTTTGGCAGAGGCAGTGGAGGTGCTGAAATCTGTGCCCCCAGGTACCGTTTCTCTTGGGATCTGCAAACCTTTGGTGGTAAGGACCGATTTTTAACTTTTTCCTATTTGATTTTATACATGGGTAGGCTGTGTTGTGTTTGGGGAGGGCGGCGGAATTCAGGGTTAGAAGCATGTGGAAAGCAGCTAAGTAGCCATGCATACACCTCAACGTGTCCAGAAATTCTGGTAAATGGGCAGCTCAATGTCAGAAAGGTCTGACTTGGAAAACCATTGGTCTCAAGTTTCTCCTGAAAGAACATCCACGTGGAATGAGAAGACATGTCTGGGCAAACCTATGCGCGCTGGCCCTATGCAGAGGTGTAACGTGGTTCAAGTAACTCAGCAAATCGGTTAAATATGTGCCGAGGTGCATTTCCCTCTAAGACACTGCTTAGCTGCTTGCTTGAGCTCCACTGACATCAAAGAAACTTAATCTGTTTGAAGTCAAGACTGTAAGTTCAAGTAGAATTTCCTTTTTCTAGAATCAGGGCTTTGGAACAGACAGTGGTTTAATTGAGAACACTGCAGTATTGTTCATCAAGGGCACAGAGGCAAAATTAATTAAAGTAAAGCACCATCTAATAGAAAGTGCTTGTAATTCAAACTGGTAGAGGAGTGGCGGAATAGGAATGTAGGAAGGCTGTTTAAATATGTTCTTTCCTTTTCTAAAAAGTGATATTGCTTTGTTCCTATCCTCGCATTTGTCTTTCTTTCCTACACATCTCTTTATTTTTTACTATATCTGCACCGATATCTTAAAAGAATAAAAGCTGTTGTCTTTATCTCCTCCATTTATGACTTTTTTATGAATCTGTAACTTTTTCCCATCTCTTTTCCAATGGCTGGTTCTCCGACTCTATTTTAGTTTATTGAAAAAGGTGGGATTTTTTTTGTTTTCCTGACTCATCATTTTGATTGCCTTTCTTAGGGAGAAAGCAAAGAGGAGGAGACCATGCACAATGTGGATTCCAACAACATAAAACCCAGCCCTGGGTCTCCAGAACCAATAGACAATTTCTCAATAATACTTGAAGCACCACAGGTATTTGGTTACTCTTTTTGTTCAGCTTGTTCAGACAGGAAATGATGTTTCAAAGTAAAAAAAAAAATAGTATTTCTTTCAGGTAAGACTTAAGTATCAGATAGAATTTAGGCTGGATTCTCTCTGAAAAAGACTCTAACAGCTATTGTATACTAATTGTACTGTGAACAGTAAGCACATGCATAGCACTTACCAATGCAGTTCCCAGACTGCCTTATCGAATTTACTGTCATTAAAATACCTTGGGTTTCCTTGGATATGAAGCAGGAATGCTCCGTTATTAGTAGTCGTAAGTGGTTGGTTCAGCTTTGCGAAGAAAGTAAGGTGTGGAAGCATCTAGTGTAGAAGGCAAGTTTGAAATCTGTTCTTCCTCACGGACTTTCTATGTGGTCCCGAGTGATTTCTTTGCTCTCTTCCTCAATTCTCCTCTTTCTTATTTTCTGAGAAATAATTCTCTTTATTGTGGGAGGAAGAGGCACTACAAGTTGAAACTCAGATACCAGGGTAATAGGCAATACTATTGCAATACCAACCTGGGTAGAGTGAGAGATTTGGATATTTTTGAATTTTCATCTGTTCTCAAGTGCTTTGCAAAATTTTTGTAAAGTAATGTTGGCAAATGCGTTCTTTCTAGAGCAGAAAAGACAATACATAAAGGATCATCCGGAACTGCAACACAGTAATAAAAATTAATTCTATATTTTCTTGTTGTTAAACATGCCTACCTGTATCTGGATACAAAATTATCCTTTATGCTGTAGTTGTATATTAGAACTATCAAAAGGAGCAATATTGTGGGGGTAGACGTAGGTAAACTGTGTAGCAATTAGCTTTGACATTGTATTTACTGATTTTCATGATGTAGAATGGAGTTTGTTGTTTTCCAGGTGCATGGGAAGGGTTCCTGGCAGAGCAATTAGTCCTCTGCCAGCTCAGATCGTTTCTCTGCTTCCTAAATAAAATTCACGTTATTAAGTACTTTTGAGGAAATTATTTTGTCTTAAAGTCCTGCTGAATAGAGAAACTGGAATGATCAATTAGTACAAAATACACAGAGAGGTATTTGCTTGTAGTTTGGTTTTTACCTTATGTAGGAAAGCAGTGACAGTAGCTTAGAGCAATAGTGTAAAATTTCCATCCATTTATTATCTTACCTGCTCGTGTAAGAGCCAAGAGTGGTGTGTCATGACGGCTTCCGCTCTTAGGCACTAGCGTAGTGCTGACAAAGCTGAATTTAAATAAATAAATAAAGGAACTTGAAGATTTTTATATGCTACAACAGTAGACTTTACTGTCATGTTTGCAGTATTCCCTACGCCGTTGGTAGCGGCCGCTGCTGCAGTGCAGCACTCTCTGATTATTACACACCCAAGCGCTGGATCCGGAGATGATAGTACAAATTGCCGGGTGGTTCTGAGCTAAAGTCAAGTGTTTTATACAGCCCTGAAGTGTTGGTGCCTCTTCCAGAAGGGTTTGGAGAATGATGCTGCAGAAGTGAAGGGAAACGCAGTGAAGTAAAGATGGAGAGAATTAGAATCTCTTCAGACTGGGTGTTTTTTGAGATTGAGGTACACAGGTCAAATAGATTAAAGGAGTATTTAATGCTTTATGAAAAATGTGCTAATTTCTGGATTGCTAATGTTCTGCTTTCATGCCAGCTAGAATTATTGCATTGTTTCCTTATGCTCTTGCCTGTCTCTCGTTTTCTCTCCTGCCTCTCACTTGAACCGTGCGAACATTTTGGCAGCATCGGGTGGTTTTTTTTTTTTTATTTTTGCATTTGTACAAACCTAACAACCCATTTCTGACTTGAGGTCAGAAATAGTGAAGTACCTTGGGGAGTCTGGGAAGGAGGGGAAGCAGAAAGAAAAACATCTTGATTGAGAACCCCTGAATCTGTAGTTTGGTTTCGGTGTTTGGGGTTTTATTGCCTTGAGGGTGGGGTTTGGGCACACGTCCTTCATGGCCTGAAGAGAGGAAAGCTTTCTGAACGTGACAAGCTTTGTGGTAGCAGGGCAAGACGTAAAATTTCAGAGACCCCTGTGCAGACTTGCTCCATGAGCACCTCATAGGGTTTAGGAGAAATGTGGGGAGGCATGTGACAAATCCCAGAAAAAGAACTGTTGAGTGAGATCTTTCAGAGTGGGTTTTAATACCTTTTCTTTTGATTTTGTTGTTTGTGTTTTCGGTTTGTTGTTCTGTGTGTTGAATTCAGTAGAAAAGTTGAGCACTCTTCTCTTTAAAACAGTAAGGGTATTAGATAATGAGCAGTCAGTTATGTCCTGGTTTGGTTTGGTTTTGGTTTTTTAAGGATGTGGGTCATCCATTTCCCCTCTCCCTCAGGTTAAAATGTTGTGTGGAATACCTAAGGAAGGCACAATTGAGTGTGGCTTTTGTTTTGGGTGGGGCTTTTTGGTTTGGTTTTTTTTTATTTTTTGTTGCTGATACTTTTGCATAAGCAAACTCAGGCTGTTTTTTATTTAGCTGATGATATTATAGGAAATGTACACGCATTCATAAAGCCACAGCAGATAAGACTGCTCAGAGGTACTTTAGCTGCATTTATATATACTTTCGCCTGTAGGGCTTTTTGTGTTATTTAATAATTCTCATTCCCTTCCTTCAGTCCAGATTGATTATTCTGAATGGCTGCAGCAATATCTAAGCTGTGGAACTTGAATTTCTTTATATTGAAAGAAAAAAATGCAATGTCTACTTTTGGTCTCAAAATCATAAGTCAGAGAGTATATTTTCTTTTAGAAAATGCACAAGGTAGAAGATGTTCCCTTTAAAATTCAGGATGTACTTTTAATATGGGCCTAACATAAAACATAGTATTACAAGAGTTAGCAAGAAAGAGAATGTAAAATCTCTATTCCTGTGATGTTTTATGCAGGGTTTCAGAGATGAAACACCTTGTAAAGAAGAACTTGTTGATGAACCAATTTTGGACTTGGGAAGGACATTCCAGCTTTCTCATAATGACAAGGAGTACAAGGAGTCCTGGGAGATGCATGAATTTCTGAAACCCAGGACAGAAGAAATGGATGAAGAACGGGAAATGTTGGTGGATGCCGAGTATGAAGAGGATTCAGACTTCCTGAAATATAGTGCATTGTCTGGACAGAAGGCAACTTCAGACAGGAACCTCGATACAGAACGATGGACAAAGCAACTTGAGGCTACTGAAATCCAAGACCTGAGATCCAGCATTAACTTAAGTCCAAAACAGTCCCCAGAACATCCCTTCAGTAAAGATCAAACGGTAAGGGATGCTGTGTTGGTGTCTGTGCTGTGCCCTCACCATGGGACCCACACCTCAAGGCAAATTCCAGGCCTAAACTCTGTAAGGAGCCTTTCTAGTGTTTTAATTACTAGAAAGTAATTAAACCACGTGCTGTATTTACAGTCATCCTGTACTTGTGCCTTCTTTCCCATCTGTGATTTGTGGGCTCCCTTCTTTTTTGCGAGCTGTACTAATATGGTTCATGTTGGTAACAGCAGAATGGTACTTCATGGTTTTAATAGTCCAGGGGCTTCAGCAACAATAGCAGTGAAAAGAGCTCCCTCTTTTCCTCATTATTTTTAATCCAAATCAGTTCCTTGAGCCAGATGATAGTGCAGTTGAGTGAAAAATGATATGGCGGAAGCAATTGTAACAAGCATACTGGTGGGTGGAGGAGTAGGAGGAGCCAGAGCTTCAGGTAAACAGCAAAACTCTTATTTACGTGTCCTCCTCAAGTATTTTGAGAATTACTTTTTTTCTGAGTCTGTGTTCATTCACTTGCCAAACAAAAAAGTGATAATATCAGCCTTCCGTGCACCAGCTTCTGAGAAGTACGTCTTTATCTGAAAAAACTGAAGTGGAAGAGAATTTTATATTACAGCCACAGAGAATTCCAGGTTTTCTTTGGCTTGTCCCCTTATGCATTATGTACATAAACAGGCTAACATGCAGTTTCTAGTGACAGTTTTACAACAGAGCACACAATATTAAATTTATACATTTGCTTCTTAAAAACAACAAATGAGCAAGAGAAAAGAACTCTTTGTCTGGATTACAGGCAAGTAGAAAGATACAGTTGCTTTAAATTGCAGTTGCACATAACATTTTTCAAGCCTCTTCTTAATATAGTGCATAAATAAGCAGTTAGTATTTCATAGTTATCTGAATATCTGAATGAATGTAGTTGAGAAAATGAATGTTTGCTGTAAAAATCAATGTTCATGTCAAATACCCTTGTACAACTTGGTACCATTGCTTTCTAACTTTAATTACTTTTTTTCTCCTCTCTAAAGTGTGAAGAAAATGCTGGTATAAATTCACTGTTTTCTGCAACCACAGCACACAGTGGCTACCAAAAAGACATACTTGATACCGAAAATACCCAGTCAGCAGCAAAAACCAAGATGGATTTAGGTTTGTAAGAGGTTCTTTATTGTATAATTTCATATTTACAACCTTAAATTTTATACCAAAACACATATTTATTTAAATGAAGACTTCTGGAGGCTCAAGACAATCTGGCTTTGAGTAGGTTTTTGCTTCATGACCTTCCCTCCTCCTCCAAATCTTCACTTAGAGTTGTCACAAGTGATACTGAAAGTGGCTGCAGCTTTGTCCTGCCCATGGAGATTCACTTTCTTCTCTGTAGTTAATGTCCCCAGTAGGATTCCATGAGTAAGTAAAATAGCTCATGCCTGAAATTTCTGCAAGGAATTTGTCTCAGTCACTTTTGATTAATGATTTTACAGATTTTTTTTTTTGCACTTCAAAAAAACAAACAAACAAACAAGTGACCAACTCTGAAGGTAACTACCACAACCAAAATTTGCAGGTGAACTCTGTGGTAGATAATTGCCCCATATCTTGGTTTTGTGATCTGTTTCTCCTTGTCAGATGGCCAGAGAGGGATGATTAGAATTTGGTAGATCATCCAATAATTTGTCAACTTGCTTGAGATAGCACTCGCTGGTTGGGAGAAAGAGGGTGGGTTCTTCCATTTCTTTGTCACCTGCGTCTTGTACAGCAGACACTGTGTAAGCTACAGTGGCAGACTGATGACTCTTGCAAGGTTCAATTAATGTTGATACTTACGTCACCAAAATGTCATCAGTCATGACGGTGGGATGGGGTTCTGTGCTGGAGCAGGGCTTTGCATAAAGGTTGGATTCACTGTTTCTAAGCACGTGTTTTCATGAGGAGCATCAGTCATGTACGTTGTACCTGAGTATGTCTCAGTTCCACGAAGATTTAGCATTTCCTGTTATTATTTGACTGCACATATATCAGCCACAAGGTGCTATAAAAAAGTCTTTAGTGTGATTTAAATGTCCTTAAAAAATAAATGTTTTCTATCTCTGAGCCTCTTGATCATCACACAGTGTCCACATTTTGAACACGGTGAGCTAAGGGTTTTGTTTCCAAGGGTGATAACTGGTAAATGCAAGGACAGAGGAAGCAAAAGTTGACATCTACACCTTTTCTTTTTCAGGCACAAAGCTTCAGATTGACTCTGAAGGACCTGAGCTTGCTGTTGATCTGGAAGCTATTGAAAAGGAAGAACTAAAAGGGGAGGATTATGGTTTTTCCAAGAACCTGGAATCTGGGAGAGTAACCACTTTATCTCAGCCTAGAACAGCATTGTGCAGGTATGGAGAAAGATTTCTGGTTTTTGAAGATTTTCAATTAATGGTGTATTTAGCTGTCTAATCATCAAAAGCTGTGTGAAGCAGTAAGATGTATATAGATGGCCAGTTCTGTGACTTTTGCCCAGGGACCTGAATTCTGCCTCACAACTTTATCGAATCTTTACTTCTCACATTCCCTCCCCTGAGTTACTGGGGCAGAAAATTGCAAATTGCTCTGCCACCGACTTCACTTACTCCCCAGTGAGGGAATGTGGCCTGGAGGAGAGGAATGTAGCCTTTATTGACAGCATTGGTCATTATGGAGCAATCTCTTAGCTCCTTATCATAGCTCTGTCCTCTTGGTGTTCCCTTTCCTTTTGGGAAGAGCTGTTCAGCTGTGGCTCTCAGGCCTGTACAGGAAATTTCAGTCTTGCCAGTGGTGTCTTGCCCCACCTGGAATACTGCGTCCTCACTGGAGTACTGCATCCAGTTCTGGGGCCCTCAACACAGGAAGAACATGGACCTGTTGGAACAGGACCAGAGGAGGCCCCGGAGATGCTGGGAGGGCTGGAGCCCCTCTGCTGGGAGGACAGGCTGAGAGAGTTAGGGGGGTTCAGCCTGGAGAAGAGAAGGCTCTGGGGATACCTTCCAGCCCCTTCCAGTTCCTCAAGGGGCTCCAAGAAAGCTGGGGAGGGACTCTGGATGAGGGAGGGGAGCCCTAGGAGGAGGGGGAAGGGTTGGACCCTGAAAGAGGGGAGATGGAGCTGAGCTGTGGGGAAGAACTTGTTTGGTGTGAGGGTGGTGAGAGCCTGGCCCAGGTTGGCCAGAGAAGCTGTGGCTGCCCCATCCCTGGAGGGGTTCAAGGCCAGGCTGGATGGGGCTTGGAGCAACCTGGTGTGGTGGGAGGTGTCCCTGCCCAGGGCAGAGCGTGGAACTTGATGATCTTTAAGGTCTCTTCCAACCCAAACCATTCTATGGTTCTGGGAAACCTCGAGCTGGCTCTGGTTGCAGATATTTGCCACATCTGCCAAGCATCCCGTTCTTTCCCCACCAGTTTTGGGTAAGCACGTGGTGGATGTGCTTTTGGGCCCTGTCGATTCAAATCCTCAGTATTTCCCTAATTCAGCTGTAATCTTCCCTCAGACAGAAAGCAGTTCAACAATAAGGGAAGGGGGATTATTTCTCCAGCACAACATCCTACTTCCTTTATGCAGTTTAAGAGTAGCATTTACAGCTCTCAGGATCTACAGAAAAATGTGTGCAAGAATGTATTGTTTCAGCCTTTCTGTGTTTCATACTTCCGTTCCCATTCTGTGAGTAGGTGAGTCACATATAGTATAAAAGTTTAATTAACACCCTGTTCTGGGGTGTTTAATGGAACACACCGGATCTGTTCTCCCAGCTGCATCACGATCTGCTTTCTGGTCAGCTAGACTGGTTTTATCATGTTTATATCCCTCTATAAGAATCACAGTGTATTTATCAGAAAGTAAATATTAATTGCTTAAATAGTCATTTAGAATGAGGAAATGCAGCGTAGATTTGTGTATTACAGAGCAGCTTATAAATTTCGTTTGCCCATCGTGTTTATTTCTGGAGCATTCCTTAAGTACATTTGAACCTAAATACAAAAATTCCTGTCTGGTCTGTTGACTCTGCACGTTTGGTTTGAACTGGATGGTGTGAGAAGGCTTTTCTGTCTCACTGCCAGATACAAAATATGCAAGGAATTGCGACCTGGCACGTGTGACGCCTTTCTCATTCTTTTTTATTCCTCCCCTCCCTCTGTCCCCAATTAGTGAATTACCTGAGAGAGAAGAAGGAGAAGGAGAAGAAACTCCAAACTTCAGCCACTGGGGACCACCACGGACGTATGTTCATTGATTACATTATTTCTTCCCATTTACCTTATGTCTTTTTTTTTCGGTGAGCCTGATTAGTTCTTGTGGGGGTTTTTTTTCCTTCCCTCCTCTGCCAGTAACTTTAAGGTACTTGTGTACCTTGGGCTTTCTTAGATACAGCGAATTTTTAACAGATGTTCAACAGAATTATGCCTTCTATTTATACAGCTGACTTGGGAAAGCTTGGCAGGTTTACGTTGTGGATGACCTACAAGTTCTTGCTCATTTAATAACTATTAGGTGTGAACAATGCACATAGTGCTGCTGTCTCCTTTTCCAGGGCTTCTCTGCTAAACTTCATGGCACAATTCCAAATTGCCGAGCCAAGTTTCAGCCACATCCTTGTTGTATTGTTAACGTTTTTGAGGTGAATTGGTTTTATGGTCCTAAGTAATATATGATCAGAAAAATTTCTGCTCAAGCTGATTAATATGCATCTGATACGCTGAAGTCAGTTGAGAAAATTGCGTGAAGCGCTTTGGTTTATAATTTGTCCAGCTTTCCACTTGTAGTATTTACCATTTCCAGGCAATTTGCTTGAGCTGAAAGAGGATGAGTCTTTACTTGAAGACCTGCCTGTTTTACTATGACTTTCTCTGAAATAAAAGCTTGTTTGGAAGAGCAGTGGGCATGGGTTGGCAGTAGAATATTGTTGGTTTTGTCGGGTGAGGTCTACTGAGGGTAAAAAGCTGCCTCTGTTAAAGCCAGAAGCATAAGAATGCTCTCATCCCTTCACTCTATTAAATCTTCTTGAAAGACCAGAAGCTTACATTTATTTAAGGCTTTGCATTTATAGTTTAAAAAACTGCTTCAAGCTGTTAAACTACCGCATGTATTTTTTCAGCGTTGAGATCTTCAGAGACCCTCATGTGTCTCTTGGAATCAGTATTGTTGGTGGACAAACTGTCATAAAGCGCCTGAAGAATGGAGAAGAACTTAAAGGGATCTTTATCAAACAAGTTTTGGAAGACAGCCCAGCAGGAAGAACAAGGGCTTTAAAAACTGGAGATAAAATACTTGAGGTAAATGCAGATTAACTTACCTTTTCATTCAAAGAGACAAAAATTGATTCGAACAGCTTTGAGAGAAGAGAGAGACGAAACACGGCCATCACTTCATGAAGTATTGACAACACTGCATTTTGAAAACCAAAAGAAAACCCTGATGTCGTCTTTTCTTTTTTTAAGGTTTGACTGTGGAGCTCTTTTAAGATTCTCCTCTATATTTAAGAAAAGATAGGTCCTGGTATCTGATGGGAAATGAAAAAAATGAGAGTGCCTTCTTTCCATATAAATAAGTTACAGCATACTGTATAAGCATAAGTTATAATATATAGAAGAACGAGTTTCATACTGAAATTTGGTCTGTTATTTTGTGTTATTTTGGAATAGTTAACAGTCTGACTAACTACTATTTGAGGGAAATCCTTGATTCTGGCAGGTGCTGTAGGGGAGAAAGCCATTCCTGGCTCTCGTCTCTGGCCCTGTATTGATTTTGTATTCATTTTTCTCCAAATGAGTACTGCTGAGTCTGGGCTCCCAAGCTGGTATCGCCGTCCTTGAATGTGCTCTAGGGTTGTGTGTGAAGTTTTGAGAGGCTGTTTCAAAGCAGATTTAGTTCACAAACAGGTAAAATCTGAGAGAGTCGTATTATACTTACCGTCATATTTAGCTTTCTCTGACAATCTTATTCCTTAGGTTTTTATCCAGAAGGATTGCTTTAGGAAACATATGGCCATCTTTTAATTATGAATACCAAGTAACACACTTTTCCTTAAACCATCATGGAAATATACTTTAAAAATAATTTCTCTTGACTGTTTTTGGTACCTTCCTCAGATATGCTGCATCTTCTGAGAATGTTTGTGATCTGCTGTAATGACTCTGTGCCAAAGCCCAAGCTAACTAATAAAAATAAACATTGTTTGTTAGGTTTCTGGGGTAGACCTACAAAACGCCACACACGAGGAAGCAGTAGAAGCTATCAAGAATGCGGGAAATCCGGTCGTGTTTGTGGTTCAGGGTTTGTCTAACATACCAAAAGTAAGTTTATATCTATTTTTATTCCAAAACTTAATAAAATTTTAATACCCGTCTTATTTTAAACTTGGCTAGATTTCTTTCAGCAAGTTCCATCCATTTTGTGTCCATCCTTTCTGTCAGAGTTTCTGCTTATAGACCCTGTGATTGATTGATTAATTGATCTGGCCTGATTTGAAACCTCGTTTCTTTGATGTAAATCAAGTAGATGTAAACCTGTTGACTAGGTGCTAATTCCGTTCTTCCACCTGTGTAACAGTATCTGGCCCCGTGTCTTTGAATTTCTTCATATTTCATAATCCAAAAATATACCATTATCCAAATGAACAAAAGTGTAATTAGAATTAGCCAGATTGACACTAGCGAGTCTGTGTGAAATATGTCATCAAAGGGACCTGAAGCAGTTATTTGGGAGCAAGTTAAATTTCAAGAGATTTAGATGCCTCCTCATCTGCGAGGCCAAGGCAAGAAACCTTTTAATGCCTTAGGAAGAAAAGGAACAAAATTCTGCCTGCCTTGAAGTACATAACAAAACCCCCAAGACTTTTATGTACTTCTGCTATAATCTGACAACTTAACTGAGAATTTTGGTGTAGAAGTAGTAGACCTGAGGAGACCTTTTTGACAACTGTAGTCAAATTTGGCACTACTGTGTCCATTATTTTTCCAGTGCTCCAGGGAGTCTTTCAAAATCTGTTAGGACTTTTCACCAGCTCTGATGGGGAGGTACTTGAGTAGCAATGGCAAAAATCACAGTGATGGTAGCAGGGTTGGCTCCCTTTCTGTATCGCCTTTTTCCACATAAAAGAACCAAAAAAACGGTTAGAACAAGTATTCAGCTATATTTCTGACCCTTATTTTCCTAGTCAGTCTAGAGAGATCAAGGGAAAGACAGATACCTTGAAATTTGAGTTGCTCTGAACTGTAGGAAATTGGACACACACAGATTTTCAGCAGTACTGCACAGTCCCAACTCCTATTCATCAAAATAAGGTGCTGCCAGAACAGTGGGAATATATTACATTTTGAAAGAATATAGAACAGCAAGGAGGAATATTACATGGAGGCAAAACATGTTGTCTTTTATAAGGTGTCAGTGTGTGGAGACTGGTCTCTATCTGAGTAATTAAGAACTGATGCTCAGGAGCTCATACCAAGCTCTGTATCAAGGACGTACTTGACTATAGAGTAATGTTTAATTGAATGAAGAGATGGGGTGAGATATCAAACAGTGAGCACTAAAAAGAGCAGACAATGCTTGTGAATTCAGTAAAAGAATGTAATTTAAAGACCGCACTGCAGTGCTCTTCTACATGGAGCAAAATCAAGAGTGCACTGGGACTGGGTAGCTTTATTTTTGGTGTTATCTGACTTTTGGCTCTTTGTTTTGCAGCTATAATGCTCTTTCTAATTTGTGTAATACGTGCACTATTTTTCAGGTGATTTCTGCCGCACAGCCTAAGGGAATCAAAGTCAGCAAAGACCAGGATGCAGACAAAGAAAATAAGAGTGAAAAGGTATTTGTGCCATTCAGTGCTATACCCAAATTTTACAGTATCAAATGGTATAATAGCATGAATTGTAACTATGATAAGCCCCCCCTCCAAGTCTGAAATGAAATTTGAAGTGTTTTGTTGAAGTATCTTTGATTCATGTAATTTTTGCCAGATTTCTGCCAAATACAAGGTAGGTTTCTGACAGATGTTCTGTGGGTCTCCCCTGGGGGCTGAAACCCTGTACTTACTGCAGCTCTTCACTGGCATCTTTCTGGAAGTACCTGCTTTGCTCCACGTGGAGACAAATTGATTCTCTTTGTTCAGGAGAAACAGAGAAATAATAACATGTACACAAATGATATCCTTAATGTGAGACTGGCTGAAATTCAGTAAAATCATGTTATAGGATAATTAAATCCGCTGAGTCTCCTATGTTTCCCATTGCTGTGTAAAGCAAGGAAATGACCGAGTGATCTGTAGCTGGCCAGCTAATTGTGAAGCAATTACCGCGCGGTAACTTTCAAGGAACTTCATGGCAGATTTAAAAGAGAAAAAATCTATTTGGTCTAACCCAGTTGATTTTTTTTTTTTTAATTACTGCAATAAGGGAAAAATTTAATTTTGCATTTCCAGCTAGATTGCTGTAATGGCCAAGGTGTTTTGCTGGGGCAACTGTGCTGACCAATGCGTGTAGGTCGGGTAGTTTGAGGGCGTCAGAACTGGAGGAGCAGAGACAGAATTAGTGCAGACAGTAACTTTTGCCCGGTGCAGTTTAACATGCCAACTACAAACACCATCAATTTTTCATTTGATCCTACTCAGCAGCCTGCTGTGTGGTGGATAACTGAGAAGACCCTCTTGCCTTCAAAAGACTCTTCAGATGCCGTCAGATACAGAAACTATAGGGCTCAGTTATTAGAAAAAAAACCAAGAAAGGTGGTGAAGTCATGCTTTCATGCCAGTGGATAATACTTATAATGAGGCAGTTACAATCCCCTTTTCTTGGTTTTGTTATCTATATTTCTCATCTCAAAAGCACTCATCCTCTTGCAATGTGCTGCCTTTAATCTCTAGGACTCCAGCGCGTCACATTCTACAGCATTGGGAGGTTAAAGAGGGAGCCTAATCTTTTTCAAACCTTTTTTTTCATCTATTGGTGCTGTAAACTGGTGGGTGGAATATAGAAGAGCTTCGGTGCATAAATATGTAGCTCCCTTTTAGCTTTGAACACCGATTCACAAAGCAGTCACACTGTGCTACAGGAGGGGCATCTCTGAGTCGGAGAGAGTTGCTATTAGTGGATTACTAGTCCATGTCCCTGTGGGGAATCGATGATATTTTCTAGTCCAATCTTCAAAGTGTCACAAAAGAGTTGGGTTTGAAAGCAGCCACATCCAGCTGGAAAATGCGTCTTTTCCTCTATGATGAATTACCTTTTCAATACTGAAGGTTTTCTCTGAGTTGTTGGTGTTTATCCTCCTCTATTGATCTGCTTGTTTAAAAATGGTCACTTGAAGTAATTTATATAAAACCACTTAAAACAATTGGGCTTCTTGTGGACAAGCCAGGTATTAATGTTATTTTGCTGGTTGGGCCGTGTAAGCTGTGCTTTTCCCTCCGTGCTGGGAAGAGCTGTGTTAATAGAAAACCATGGTGTAATGGTGTAAATTCGGGCAGAATTTACTCCTCTGGCTTTTCAGCGGGTCAGAAGGGAGAGGAGAAGCTTCTGAGCCATAGCAAACTGCTGGATAAGCTTAGGTGTCTCATGTAATTTCACACAGACTTTCTAACAAATGCTTAAGGTCTCAAAAAGCCAAAGGGTCAACATTTAGACTGTGAGTTATAACTAAATTATAGTGATATCCATTTGTCACAGGCAGCTGAAAGTGGGGCTCCAGGTTTTCCATCTTTACCTGCTCAGTAATGTGGAACCTGAGTTCTTTTACGCTTCTTGGATCTTGTGGATTTTGCACAGTTCTACCTGTGCGACCAGAAAGTGGGAGGCGTATTTGGTGTATTGTATACTTTGGGAAGTAGCTGTAGTGTTTCCAAGGGCTTTTATTATACAGTCTTACTACTCTTGGAAAGGATTAATTTCATTTGTTATTGTTATGCTGTCTTCAGGGCAGCACTTCCCCAGAATGTTTTTTTAAATGGATGGGATGATGTATATCTTATCTCACCAAATTTTCTATGTAGCTTGCATCGCAGTTTGATAGTTGGACCATTCTATACAAATTTATGCTTAAAATTTTAGAAATCCATGTGCACGTTCAGCTTTCATTGTACAACTTAGTCCTGGGTTTGATGTTTGGGTGTTGGGTCGTATTTCCCATCTAGAGAAGAAATGAATTAGGGGCATTCTGGTTGCTCTAATGGCATATCATACTCGGTGTTCCCTTTCTAAAGTGCATCCTGCTATTAGTAGTGGGGTTGCATGGGATACAGTTCAACGTAATTTTGTGAAATTGTGTAGCAAACTGAGGCACAGTCAGTTACTGGGAGCTCTAAAAACAGTCTCTCAGACCAACAAGCGCCTGTTTGCGCTGGATTCCGAGCCTCTTCTTCCTGCCTGCGATGCGCCGCTATATGCACCATTACAGGAGCTGCCTGTATTTATGTGAGGTAATGGAATTTTATTCTAAGTTATAATTCAAAAATCTTCTTTAAATTTAGGCCAGAATATAGATGATTGACTTCTTACTTTGTATTTGCAAGTCTGACTTTTATTAGTACCAGACAATTTTGTTGAGTCTCTAATGAGAAATGGGGTAGAATTTAATGTTTATTTTTAACCCTTGATTAATGTTCACTTTTATATTTATGTTGTATTGTATTTTGTATTTATGTATATTATGTATATTGTAACGTATTTTGTACTTATGGTGATACACAAGTATTTTGTGAACAAGTAAATGTGCTTGCACAATTGTATTTTCTTTTTTTGAGGTTCATTGTCACTTCCTGTTCTGATTTCTTGCCTAAAAAGCCTATGCTGCAGAATTTAGCATTGTAATTAAGTGCTCTGTCTGTGCACATACAGTGCCATAGACAATACAATATTTTTTTCTTGTGTGTGGAGGTTACAAAACATCTATTTCTTTTTTAATCCATTAGAGAAAATACGGGGCTCCGCCTCCAATGAAATTGCCACCTCCTTATAGAGCCCTTGAAAGACTGCATGCAGAGGAAGCCAACGTGGATGAAGAGGAGGATGAGGATGCTTGTACAGAGAGTGAGTAGTGCCATGATCATTACGTCAGATTACATTTATGGAACACAATCAGATTGTGATAAATGTATCTGCTGTTTATTGCTTGTATTATGGGAAACAGTGCTCAGTGTGGCAGCAGCATCTAATCCTCAACCTTCTTCTTACCAGGGGCTACTGATTTGTAACTTAAATAGTCTTCTCTTCCCGGCCAGGGTCCTATAGCTCAGCTCCTCTGAAGAGATGTAAGAAGGACTCTGTTTATTTTCAGCCTAAAAATGTCTTAAGCAATGCCTAGAGAACGTGCTTTGGTGGTGAAGGACCGATGTTGTGCTTTACTCTTGTAGTCACAGTGGTCGTTGAGCAGGTGGAGGTTGAGAACCACTAGTGGTCCATGTCCAGAAAAGCCTGCAGTTGACTTCAGACAGTGCTGTTCAAGAAAAATATTTTCCTTTAAAAAGAAAAATCTGCTGCTTTATTGTTTCAGTACTCTGCTGAAAAAAGGATCCCCTTTTTTTTTGTAGCACCTTTTATGGGTAAAGTTCTGCAGTTGTCCACTTCTGGGTTTTGCAATGAATGATGACAATATGCACTCTGTGGAAGAGCATATTCCTACAGAAAGAGTAGGATGCAGTGCAACTTGAGAGCTTCCAGTAGCGTGACTTGGATTCCAGCATACTGCTTTGTTAATTATAACTTTGGATAAACAGAATATTATTATCCATAGCTTATCTTCCAATAAAATATTTAGCAATACTGAAATTGCGGTTAGGAGTTTTAAATTTATTTACTAAAATTCATTAACTTTTAGCTTTTTCCCTTTATACTCCGCATATATGTGGGGGGGTTGTTGGGGTTTGGTTTTTTTTGCTACAGTGATTTTTCTCATCATCTTTTGTCTCGGAGTGTTTTTTGTTTGCACTGGTTATGGGTGAGCCAAAGCAGAGAGATGCCTTTGTAGCTTCTGACCTTGAAGCAACCATGGCTCCTATTCAGACTGGAAGCTCCCAATTTGGGGCCTGCTGGTGGGAAAGCTCTTCCAGCTGCTCTTGCTGATTTTCTTGGCAATGGTGTGCCATTGAAGCCGAGATAATTAATGAGTTTGGTTGGTTTGTCACATTTAGGGCTGCTTTGGTGGAGACAAGAAGGATTTTGGAAGGTTGTTCTCATGGAAACAGTAATAGGGGCGCAGAAGCAGGGTGTTCAGCTCTGCCTTTGTTGTTTTAAGGGAAAGCTGTGAGTTCTTCAATGAACTGAGGTTTTTCCAGAACTCCCCCTTAATAAGTTTCTCATCTCATCTGTTTGGAGCGTGCCACATAGTTACCTCAAGAAGGTTTACAGTATTTCTGTGGGGAGCGATAGTCAGGAGGAACAATTGACTGCAGACTCTGTGGATGCTGGATTTAATGTATCTTGAGCTTTCCAGCCAACTCTGTAAACCTCCAAGTGTAGCAAACTGATTTCAGCTTGTTATTAAAGTTATAATTCCCAGTTAAAGGATAGATTTGATAAGTAGCCTTACACCCGAGTTATCTAATTGGGATATGCCTCAATCGGAGCGCTTGCTAGACCTAAGTTAGTACTTCACACAGAAACAATTTCTTATTGATGGGCTTGGCCATTTTTTCAGTTGTTCTGCCATCCCTAATGGTATTGCTGTCTGAGTCTGATAACTGAAAAGGTAAAGCTACTTCTGATATTAAATTCATCAATCCTAACAGCTTTGGCAGCAGAAAACAGATCTATTCAGTTGAGTCGTCTTCTCTCTACTCTTTTTACTGACTGAAGCTGAATGTTTTGCAATAGCCATCTTTCCCCATGGATCTTGGAAAACTAAGATATGTGTTTTCCATTTCATTTTTCCCCACCTCATTTTGTTTCTTTAAAATAAAAAACAGGCTAAGGAAGCTTAAACTAAGTTTGTGCCTCAACTCGTGAAGTAAAAAGCAAGTTAGAAACGATCTAACTGTACTTAATGATATTAAGCCTCTCAGCAGCTGTGGAATGGGCTTTTACAGAATCTCTTTTCTGTGATCACTTCAAAGCCAAAATTTTCTCTGTAAATTCCAGTATGGCATTGGTTTTGTGAACTACTTCATGTTCATAACTTCTGTCCTGATTCTTGAGCACCTGTGCCAGAAATCTCAGTCCAGGCCAGTACTTGCCCTTTTTAACACTGTCCATTTGCATTTTCATATGGATTTATTCCTTACTCACTTCTCCTATTAATCCTACTGGTTTTGGAACCTTAACTAATAATTTTCTGAGCTTCACTGGACAGGTGAACTAGATTTATTGTGTTCCTTATTTTGGAGATCAGGTATCTTGAAAGGAAGAAGTGGTGTCAGCTCAGGTAAATTCATGTCTCTCCTCCTTTCTTTTACTTCCTGTAGTTCTCAATCTGTGCCAAGAGCAGGGAAGCCTTGGTGAACGTTTTGAGGTGGGACAGCTCTCAAATCTGGGCTCTGGTTGTGCTCCTGATGGATTTGATTTTATTTTTTAGCATTCTTGTTAATACAACTCCAGCGTCACAAACCTACTCATCAATTTCTTTCATACTCCAGAAATACTTGCTCCACTTGATGTTTTTCTCTTTGCTTGTCACTTCTTTCCACCCAGGCTTTCATCTTTTCTCTCCATGTCCTTCATTCCCCATACTGAAAATGAAAGCAAAGCACTGTTAGTCTTCCTGCCATACTTAGAAAATTTTTCTTTCTTTTCTGTCCCATCTATACTGCCTCACAGTCTCCGTGTTTTGTCTGTTTTCCCCTTAAAGTGGCTGAATAACCTTTTGGTATTGATTTAATTTCCCCTGTGGGATCGAAATCCACTTGCCTTTTGGCAACTCTCCCTTTTATTTCTGCTTTTCCACCACTGAAACTGTACCTTTCATTGCTGACTTGTTGTAACAAACACTCATTTCTTGTAGATGTCCTGCCTTTTCTTTTCAAAGGTTTTTTTTGATCCAAATAGAGTGAATCCTTGTCGTGGATAGAACTGCTAACTAGGTAGCTCTTGGCTTACAGAAACTCCAGATGTCCTCCGTGTTTCTGTGGTTTAAGGAGTTTAAAGAAGTTCCAGGTGTTTTGTTGTTTGGTTTGGTTTTTTTTTCGGAATGTGCCTTCTTGCACCCAAACTCCTCAGTTTCAGACCTGCTTCTCTTTATATTTCAGATTCATTTGAATCACCATTACTTCCAATATTATTTTCTAAGTTCTTAGCTTTTTCCTAGACTAAAGGCAAGTTGAAAATAGCATTTCCTCTTGTATTATTTCTCCTTCTGGTGATACTGTCAAATCTTTATCGATACTCAACTCTAACCCCGTGTAATATGTTTTTTGTTTACTCTTTGCTTTGACTTTGCTGGTTTGAGGCTTTCAGTTTACATTTTAAAAACAGTTTTGTAAAACTTGCAGCGAGCACATCCTGCTGCGAAAATAGCATTTCCTCTTGTATTATTTCTCCTTCTGGTGATACTGTCAAATCTTTATCGATACTCAACTCTAACCCCGTGTAATATGTTTTTTGTTTACTCTTTGCTTTGACTTTGCTGGTTTGAGGCTTTCAGTTTACACTTTAAAAGGAGCCTTCAAAATGCTTTGTCCTACAGACCTGAAAACGTTACGACATGAGTTTGGAGTTTTTCCTCCCCACGCTGGAAGCGCGTCCTCCACGGCAGAGCTTATTTTGCAGGAGGTCACTCTCCCCAAAGAGGTTTTTTTAGGCTTCCCAAACCTTAAAAACATCAGGTTTTGAATAGGATTTTTTTTTTTTTTTAATCAAAACAAGTAAAAGGAGGGGAGAGCGTACAAAGGAGCTGTTTGTACTCGCCAGCAGCTGCAGCAATAGGCATCGGTGTGTTTTCCCTCAGTGGCCGAGGCCGTAGGTGTGCGCTAAGAGTCTGCTAATAGGGTAATGTGCACCCTGTCGAGCCTTATTGCTATAATGAGGGGTTAGCAGTAAAAAGAAGCAGAGGAAATGGATGGGCAGAGTAGTTTGTAATGGAATGTTTTCTAAGGTTTTCCTTGGGGCATTCCTAACTGTACAATTTAGATGCTCTTTCTTGATTGAGTTGAAGCAATCCGAAGTTAGATAGGAAAGACCTTAGAAACCATTATGAGAAAGCTAAAAAGACAACTGTTGAAAGCACTTGGAATCCTTAACTTCAATTGATGCTGTGTTTTTGAGTAAAATCTTTTGTCCAGTTAGTTGGCTGAGATTGATCTGGTTGGTTTCAAATAAGTTCTGAATAATAAAAATAGATAATAATAAAAAAATTGTGAAAGGTGGCTAAGATAATGGACTAGATACTGCTGTGCTCAGACTTCCTGTCTGCAGGGATATTTAACTATATCTAATAAGAGGATAATAATGCCCCCTTTCTTTTATTTTGTCTCTAGATAATGTAGAAATCAATGAAGCTTTAAGAAAGCGTAATGATTTATCTCCCTAAAATGCTTTTTGAGAAAGTGGTCTCTACCAAAGCAAAGGGATTTTAAAACTTCTCTTGTGTTTCCACTTTGTGTTCCTCATCATGATAAACCTGTGGCTGCGTAGGGTGCAAGAGGTGCTTTATGTGAAGCTGTGCTAAAAAAAGGAAAAGCAATTCTTAATTTTATTTCATTTTTGGGGGGTGGGGTTGGGGGGGTGTTGACCCAAACCTGATGATCTTCAGGTGAGGCAGCTTGTGTAGCCAAACACTGCCTCTCCAATAGATGTCACTGCAATCAACAGCAAATAGAGATGATGTTCAAAGAGTAAGATGTAGCCTGGAAAAAAATGCTTCGAGCTTTATGAAAATAAAATACTGGGGAAAAAAAATGATAATTACAATATTTAATTTTCTTAAATCTAGTGACAAGTGTATTTAGTACGGTGGATTTCCAAAGATCACGCGAGAGCTAGGATTAGACGAACAGAGCAGTGACTTTTCATTTTTTAGCTCTGTGTTAATCTCTATTTAATGTGTCTCTGTGCTGCTAATCTTCTTTTCCCATTCTTATTCTGACCCATAATTAGCTAAA